AAGGGATTTCTGTGGCTGCATGCAGCCGTAATGTTTACCAGAATCTTCGGGCAACTGTAGGGCGCATGTTGTCTGGGGGTGGACGGAGTTGCGGGTAGTATGCAGGTTTCTAAGGGTGGATGGAGTTGCGGGTAGATGGATGCAGAAACGAAAAAGCAAAAATCTTCCTCAACCGCGTATCTCCACATACACTTCGAGATTCAGCCTTGGAGGACACTGTACGCTTCTAGTGGGACTTGGCCCCGTGGTGATTGGTGGCAGCGGCAACGAATGACTGTCCTGATGCGTTCACCACTCTCACAAATGGGCTGGGTGCATGAGCTCTTTCTATACGAACTGAAACCCGTTCACCAACCTATTATTACACGGGGTACAAACGCTTCCCCACACAGTTAGTTCTTGGGAATGCGTGAACCTGACCGTAGAACCCGCCAGGGGATACGAACGCTCCTGAGCAAAGTTGGTTTCATGGGAAGAAGTAAAGCCGACCGTAGAACTGGCCAGATTTGTGCTAGCACAACAAAAGGATGCCACAGTGGTTGCACGAGCCGGCCTGATCTGTCGACCTCACCCCGCCGAGAACGATGCGGTCCCCAGCAGAAAGAGTGGAATGCTTTTCTTTTATCCTCTCGATTTGTGTGTGCCATCCTTGCGCAGACTATCGTAACTGGGCAGCCTGCTGTCTCGCAGCCGGCACATATGCAGGGCACACAACCCCAACAACAGCTAGTGCAGTAGCCTGCGCCCGAGGGTCCACAGCCTAAAGTGACGTAGGTACCGGACAAGGCCAGTGGGTTCCAAAGACGGCCATCGCCTCATTGAAACCCTTTTCAGGAGATAAGAGGGACGAAGACCTTGACACATGGTTGAGGTTAGTGCACGTCTACGTAAAGTGTGTCGCACGAGGAAGTGTTTGTGGCTGCCTCCTACCTAGAGGGGAGTGCAGCAAGATGGCTGAGCAGGCTAGTGCAACTACAGGGATACTGACATGACTTCTGCGCCTGGGCAGTCAACCAGAAATTGAGGGAGGAGAGGTGGCATGATCCTCAGGAGGCCCAAAAGGCCACTGATGTGATCCTGACTTTGAGCTCTAAATCGTTCAAGTTAGTAAGGGATGCCACACACGCAGTAAAGCGTTTGATCTGTGTACCTGGAGTACGTTACGACCCCGAAGTCTTACTCACCACTTACCAGAGGTGTCTTCTACTCAGGAATCAGTTGCCGGGTGAGGCGAACATCAATGTGCACAACTTTCCCTCATTTAGCAAGACGGCCCTAGACCTGGAAGCAAAGATTGGGCATCGAAATCGAACCACAACAGATGGAAGGAAGAAGGCACTGCCTCCTAACTGGAAGGCGAAGGGCCGAGTCATGTTTGTCGACAACGATGATTCTACCATTGAGTTAGACGCCGACTACTAGGAGGGAGTAGGTTTAGAGGCGGGCAGCGTAGAGGCTTCAGGGGATGGAGCAGTCGCTGCCTCAGTCCTAAAAGGTAGGGAGGCTCCCGGTTTGGGGGTCAAGTTGACCCTAACGCTCCTCGAAGGCAGAAAGCGGGTCTCACAGAGGACGTGTGGAGAGACCGGTACACCCGGCAAGCTTATATCCGTTGTGGCCAATACGGCCATAATCAGTTCACGTGCCGGAATAATAAGGTGACTGAAAAGATCCCGCCTACAATGGGGCAGGCGACGGGATCCTCTGCTTCCCAGGGGAGCAATGTTGCCAGCAGTTCTGGCACCGCCAACTCTATAAAGCGTCCAAACTGTTAAATCCTTTTGTCTAAAATGCTCATCATTTTTCCCAACCTATATCCAGTATGTCCAAAATGCCCGTTTCTCCCAACCTAAATCTGATATGTCCAAAATTCTCATCATTTCTCCCAACCTATATCGGCTTTCCAAATTGGTTCTGATTAGGTACTAAATAGGAAAATAGAAGTGACCAATTAGGTCTGATGGCTGTCCAATTGAGTTTTGGTTTCTCCAAATCTCTTCACCTTTATCCTAACGTACCTGGTCAAAGGAGAAAAATTATGGATAATAGAAAAGCAAAGAAGATTCAGAGGAGATTGCAAAAGAAAAGGAGAAGAGGTTTGCAAAAGGACAATGGAGAAAAAACAAGGACCAGATTTGACAGAGAGCAAGTGCCTCCCTTTCTGCAAACGCCTCCCTCTTTGCTTTGTCCTATTTCAAGTAGTAACGCATTCTTTCTGTCCAAGAACTCGGACCAGTATGCAGAATCAAAGCCATAGTCACATCAGCACATTCATACATGCATCTAGCCGCAAATGCTGCCAGATTTAGATGACAAACTCCAAGTGGCAAGTACATGCCCTTAAGTGCCATCCCACATATTGACGGGATATTCCCCCCTCTCCCTCCCTCCCTCCCTCCCTCCCTCCCTCCCTCCCTCTCTCTCTCTCTCTCTCTCTCTCTCTCTCTTTCTCCCTCTCTCTCTCTCTCACACACACACACACACACACACACACAAACACACACACACACACACACACACACACACACACACACACACACACACCAGTGCCGTACCCCCTTTCACCGTTCACGGGGTCTGTGGATGGAGACGGGTCATGGAGTTCACGAAGTTCACGGAGAGTGGTATTTTTTTTATTTTTTTGTTTTTGGCTGGGGGAGGTATGTTTTTTTTTTTATAGGAGGGTGGGGGACAGCGAAGGGTAACTCCCTATAAATTTTTCGTTTTTTTTTTTTTCACGAATAATATTTGTTGTAATTAAACACAAAAAAAAAAAACAACCAGCCGAAATAAGCATTTTCGTTTGCTATTTTGTAGGTCATTTCGATTTTTTAAAATTTTTTCAATGTCATCACTCTGTGACACACACACGCACACACACACACATTCAAAAAATAAAAAATGTCTGTCTTGGACGAAATTGCTGTTCTATGGAAGAGGTCTTTGACATGGCTAGGCAAATGGACTTAGCTTTTGCCAGTAGAGATCAATAAGGTGTTGTAACTGTTGTTAGAAATGTAATTAATATAAATTTATTATAAAGCCCACACAGAAAAAGAGGGCACTCCATCCATGATCGATATCAGAAGGGAAGTCTTCCCGAGCCGACGGCGCCAAGAAAAAAGTCATTGCTCGCTATGGCTGTCTCTACCTTGCTTCCTAATATTCTCCCTAAGGAAAAGGGAAAAAAAGAAGTCTCGCCGAACTCAATCTCATATTAAGACGACGGTATCCCTTGCTTGAATCCTCCATCGATATCATCATTTTATTTTTTTATCTAAATTACATGGAATGAGGTCATCAATAGCCAGTATTAGCGACATACTCGGAAGTGAATAATCCTATGAGTGTCCTTCGGGACATCCGTTCAAATTGGAACGATAGAGAGAAGGGTAATTAGCGGAATGGCACACGCATAGATCGAGAAAATGTCCAAAGTTTTGAAAAACAAAAAAGTAAAAAAACCCTGTGAGTCTATTTCTGGAAACAGATACCCAACTACGCAGGTGTGCCCTGGTTTCAGAAGCACTAGATGTACAATGAGGTAAACGATCCTATTGATCCTTATTTCCCATCATCATCGTCATTTTTTATGGCGCGCAGAACCGAATTAGGTCCCCCTATTATCTTTCCTAAATCGAATTGTAGGCTAAGGGTCTGGCCGCACGGCACTCGAAACGAAAACGAAACGAGTGCATCTGCCCACGAAAGGTGGCAAAATACACTCGTTACAATTTATAGCAAACCGACGAACCTGGCCATTTTCTGTGGGAGATACATTCGTTTCGTGTGCCGTAACCAACCTATCCCGCCGAAATGCAGAGAAAGGGAGGGAGAAACCTTATCGATTCCTTCTGCTAATTGGTCGCCCCGTATCATGCGCAAATGGGGTCTCAGCGACGGGGCAGCAAACAACAGGTAGCAAAAAAGTTTGCGGCAGAGTTCCCCAGAAGCCGCTGCCGCCATTCGATTGAAAGCTCAGTCTGCCACCGAAGCATGAAGAGTGCATGTGCTCGCGGGTGCAATCACACACCTAGCTGCACTCGCGCGAATCGTACACGCAGATACACATATGTACAGACAAGAGTACACAGACGCACACACAAACGGAGGCACGCACACGCTTGCGCACACAGTGACAAACATGAAGTCACACACACACACACACACACACACACACACACACACACACCAGCACATGAAGTAATGCACACGCTCAAACGTACATACAGTGGCACAGACATGTGCACGCACGTAAACGACACCGAGGAAAAGATAGATGGAAGGAGGGGAAAGAGTGCACGGGCCCCATTCCTCATTGCAATAAGCGGAATGAGTTGCAAGCCACTGGTAAAGGGGAAGAGGTTAGACGACTGCCATTTCGCTAGTCCTAGATGGAAAAGGGGGGGGTTCAAGGGAGGGGGTCGGGGAAGAAAAAGAAACCGACGGCAGGACAACAGCCATGGGCGGAGTCCCGCGGGCAGATTAGGGGGTTAGGTCACGGGTCCCTGAACAACATCGCGAGCTTCCCCAACGGGGGCTCCTGTCCTTTTCCCTAAATTCACTCCTCTGTCCATCGTTCTGTCCATTCTTACTCCAGAAATCGCCATCTTCGGCAGTGAATCTTGCAGATCGCACACCATCCCTCTCGATCCACGACATGCTCTCGAAGGATACTACCATCCCTCTCGATTCACGACCCGTTCCCGTCTGTCAATCGTACACAACGCGTCAATATCTTTCTTCTCCAGAAGACAGCCACCGCCCCTTTCCTGAACCGCAGCTTCCTCGCTGTCATGACGGCAGTGAATTATCGCCGTATCTGGGCTGAAAGTCGTKCCAAATACGGTAGCTATAATGAGCGGGCGTTCTATTCGGGTGAAGACGGTAGCTTCCTGTTCCTATGTTATCATCATATTAGAAGGCTCACACTTCAACCCTGACACTACAGTCTTCCCCCGAATACAACGTACGGTCACTATAGCTGAATTTGGTCGATCTTTCCGTCTAAATTCAGTTATAATGACCGTACGTTGTATTCGGGGGAAGACTGTAGCTTCCTCTGTCCTCCCCCGTCCATAGGTCTTAAGCATCATCCCTTGGCTTTTGCTTCGTTGAGCAGACTGTTAATCTGGGCGGCTAATAAGCTCATTTTAGGCCTGGATTCATAGTCCTCAACGACGCATTCTGCCGTCAAGCGCAACGTCTCAATCACCACGCGATTGAATGACGGTTCGTCCGCTTGATCCCGCAAGCAAGGGTCCAGGATCTCGGACAGCATCATCGCTTCTGTACCCCCATCGGCATTTTCGAGGAGAGGTTTCGCCCAATCCACAAGCATCAGCCAACCCACGCCAGAGGCTGCAGGCGACACCGCCTTTCTCCCCGTCAGCAGCTCCAGCAGGATCACGCCGAAAGCGTACACGTCTATCTTCTCCGACAGAATCCCGGACCGAATGTACTCGAGCGCCATGTACCCGATTGTTCCCGCCATGTGCGAGGTCTTTACCACGGTCTCGTGCTCTGTCCCGAACACCCTCTCTCCGATGGTTGCCAGACCGAAGTCCGCTACAACGACCCGCAACTTCTTCCCGGCGCCATCGCCAAGAAGCACGTTGCTGCTCTTGATGTCCCGGTGGATGATCGGGGGTCGGCACCGTCGTGAAGGTAGGCCAACCCCTTGGCGATCTGCAAGGCGATGCACAATCGCTCCATCAGTGTCAGAGGCGGGAGAAGGGGTCTACCGGGCACAGCTGTCTCTCTTTTGTGAAGGCGAGCGTACAGACTGCCGCCCGGGAAGTAGGGGTAGACCAAGATGGAACGATTTCCCTCGTCGCAGTATCCAACCAATTGCACGAGGTTGGCGTGATGGAGTCTGGTCAGCGCGTTCACCTCGGTAATGAACATGCGGCGCTTGGCCGGAGTAAGTTCTCCCGACATCAGCTTGATTGCCACTTGCTGATTTTCGCCGATCGATCCCCAGTAAACGTCGCCGAAAGCCCCGCTGTCCCCAATACGATAGCTTTGGCTGAAATCATTGGTGCAGTGAGAAAGCACTGCCAGCGAGAATCGCTTAACCTCGATCGGCTGAAGCTCCTCGATCCCATGTTGAACACCTCCTGACCCCGATGGCGCGGAAGTGGTGGTCGTTGCTGTTATAGGTACTTCTATGCAATTATGGGGTGCGGGTCTGGACACTGGTAATTGTATGCTATTACGGAGTGCAGATCTGGACCGTCTGTTAAGCCCGGCTTTCCGGCGGGCTTTGCAAGCCAGGACACCTAGGGAGGCGAGAGTGCAAATAAGCGCAAGAGAGGAGAGGGGCACCCCGACAATGAGCCCAAGATTGGGAGAGTGCTTTTCGGACACTTGACTGGCCGTTTGCGACGGAGAAGGAGGGAATGAGTAGGGAGCGTCTGAGTTATACGGACTCCGAGGAGAAGGAGAAATAGTTAACGCGTCCCAAGTAGAGGGAGGAGGAATGGGGGAGAACGGAGGAGGAATGGAGGAGAAGGCGTCCGTTAGAGACGGAGGAGATGAAGAAACGGAGGAGGACGCAGCGGAATCAGTTGCAGGAAGAGGAGTGACCGAGGTCGACAAGTCGGAATAAGAGGCAGAGGCAGGTGGAATTGGGGATAACGTGTCCGTGTAAGAAGGAGGAGAAGTAGAAACTGGGGAGGACGCAGCTGAATAAGAGGGAGGAGCAGGAGAAGACGGAGGGACCGAATAAGAGGGAGTACTCGGAGGAGCAGGAGTAGACGAGGAGACCGAATTAGAGGGAGGACCAGAAGGAGACGAAGAGACAGAATAAGGAGGAGCAGGAGGAGATGAAGAGACCGAATTAGAGGGAGGACCAGAAGGAGACGAAGAGACAGAATAAGAAGGAGGAGCAGGAGGAGATGAAGAGACCGAAGAAGAGGGAGGGCCAGAAGCAGACGACGACAACGAAGAAGAGGGGTAAGCAGGAGAAGAAGAAGATGCCGAAGAAGCGGGAGGAGTAGAAGTTCACGAAGCGACTGAATGCGGAGATCCATCCGGACCACCCCGAGCAACCGTACTCTCCGCTGGCCCTTCGCTTGGTGCAGTCGTACAAGTCATTGTGTGTATAGGGCCATCCACCCCTTCTCGAACACTGCTCGTAAGATTCGCGCACTGCACCGTATGGGTCGATCCCCGGCTCTCAGCCTTCTTCGCTATGCAGGCCGCAAAAAGCATCGCCAGAACAAAAAAGGGACACGGAAGAGGACGAACTGAGAGATGGCGAAGGAGAGGAAGAGGGGGAGACAAGGACAGAAAGCCGGAGTACGGATAGACGGACAGGATTTTGCACGCATGGCATGGATAGTTTGGCTGATCCGAATAGTGATAGAGGTCCGCCATCGCTTCAAAAAGGAGATATCTAGTCCGCCTTTCTTGAGGGGATATGTCGGTCAAACACGAGATGACGATAGCTACGCAATTCGTCGAAAGAGAGAGAGAGCGTAGAAAAGAGAATATTAGTGAGGCGACGGGTTGAGGGAGCAGGAAGAAAGAGGGGGGCGGGAACATATTAGGGAAAAGTTATAACCTTTGTATTCACTTCAGCTCAAACGTGGCAAAAAGTGCCGCAGGTCCCACAATGAGTTTTGGCCTCATCTTTGCACCCGGCAAAACACTGTCGCCGCCCGGCCAGGATCCTCTGGATGCCGTGCGGTGACTAAGCGGGTCCTCTGGAGCCGTAGGAGCCTACAACAGTCTTCACCCGAATAGAAGGCCCCTGTCATTATAGCTGTATTCGGGGCAACTTCCTGTGCAGATACAGCGATAATTACCAGGCGTTCTATTCGGGTGAAGACGCTAGGGGGCGTACTCGCTATCTACAGAGTCTGTATCACATTAAGATGCAAGTCTTCATTGAGGTGGCATTGAGCTCTGATAGGCATCTTTATGCCAGCGAGTGGCCGAGCTTTGGGGATCTGGAGGTTCCATTGAAGTGTCAATTAGGGCCTCGCCACACTACTCTTGAAACGGGGAAATATGCCAACAGCTGTAAGACTTCCTCAAGAGTAGGGTTTTCAAGAGTTTTTGGTCCTTCGCCACACAGCACTCTTGAAAGGGCCATGCCGTTGGACACAGGATGAAAAACGACAGTCATACGGCTTTTTTTTTTCCGCATGGCATCAGGATAACGGCCTGACAACTCTTGAAATCGATACTCCCTCAAGGGTTCGGCCAAGGACGCTTGAAATGGCACGAGTTGCAGGCTGGGGTTTCCACTCTCTCAAGAGATGCTCTTGAAAGGGTTTCAAGAGCCACTCTGACAGCTCTTGACGGCCCCAAGTTTCAAGTGGCCGTGTGGCGATGCAGCAACTCTTGAAAAAGAGTTTTCAAGAGTGGTGTGCCGAGGCCCTTAATTAGAAGGGGTAACTAGGGCGCAGTCAGGAAAGCAGTTTCTAAATGCATTTCAAACTGCGTTTTTTAATTCGAGTCCCGTCGGAAGTTTACTATGCAGTAGAAACTCCGCTTTGCAGAAAAGCCGCACCGCAGAGTTTGGAAGGAACTGCAGTTCCGTCAGGCAGGTGACTGCTCTGTTTTTTTTTTGTTTTTTTTTTTCCTGGTCACGCGTGCCGTGTCTCATTGCCGCGTTTTTGTTTTTTTTGTTTTAGAGTTTCCACCAGACATCTCGGCGGTGGCCAATCTGGGGTGTGGCCATCTTGGTCATGGCCAATCTGGGGTGTGGCCGAGACATCTCGGCCGGGCCCAATCTGGGGTGTGGCCGAGACATCTCGGCCTTGCCCAATCTGGGGTGTGGCCGAGTGACCCCACCATGGGGATTTTTTTTTTTTTTTTTTTCCCAGCCACGGCACGGCGACCGACCTAGAAAAAAACAAACAAAAGAACCCACCAGCCGGCGGCCACCTGGCTGACTCTAACTGCAGTTTCAAACTCCGCTGTGCGACTTTTGTGCAAAGCAGAGTTTCTTTCTACTGCATAGTAAACTCTCCACAGGACTGGCATTAAAAACTGCAGTTTGAGATGCATTTAGATACTCAAACCATGACCGCGCCCTAGTTTTCTCTAATTAGAAATAGACTGTTTAATGGAGTGTGAAAATTGCGTCTGACCTACCATCCCGAATTTGCGAGTGTGTGCGTGCGTGAGCATAGGTGGATGTTGTCTCCTAACAACTCCAGGATGCCTGCTCGCAAGAGTGAAAACGAAAGTCACAAACTGCACAGCCAAAAAAATATTCGACTTTCGACATCAAACAATTTTGTCGAACGGAAAGAAAAAACTCAGTTTTAACGAGCTGGTAGGTATTCCTGTGATCGCTCTTTGACATCTCAGAACCTAATTGGTGCTCTTTGTATTCCTGTGCTCCGGCCACAAAACTTGTGGCTATCCTAATCGAGAAATAGGGCCTAGCTGACCACCCAGCATATGCGCAAAGCAAGAATCCATATTCCCATAATAATTCATGTAAGGGGTAACTACGCAGGAGTCACAAAAACAAGTTATAATTGCACTATGGGGCAAGATACAGTTTGCAATTGCACTTCGGGCACCCTACCTGGTCAGCAAGCTGGGTTGAATGCATCGCCCGAAGTGCAATTGCAAACTGTATCTTGCCCCAAAGTGCAATTATAACTTGTTTTTGTGACCCACGAATCATAGAAACAAGATGATCTTCATTTTTTGTCGTTTGTGCATTTGGCGAGTGTTGCCGCCAGGCCCATAGACCTTGGGCCTCGCTCCACTACTCTCGAAATGCAAAGAAGACAAAACTCTCATGCTGGTGTATCTTTCTATGTTCTAGCAGAAAATTCACTCTCGTTTTGCACATTTCGAGAGTAGTGGCGCGGCGCCCCTTGCCAATGAAATCACTGGAACTTGTAGTTGCCGCACAGCAAACGCAACATGGTCCCCGCTCATTTTCCTCAGTATCGTTTGATTGATTTTTTTTCCTGCTTTTTCCCCCAGTTGCCCCAGGTCATTCAGAACTACTTAATTGCGTTTAACGTGGATCTGTACTTCAACAGTTCATGAAGGGATACCAATTGAGCTACACCGGTTTGTAATTGTATGTGTACTATCCTATTGTCTTTCCTTGCGGACCTCAATTGAGTGGTGAGCGTGGTGACCCTTCATCACTTGGATGGGCACGGCAAGGAAGTCGAATCTACCTACACGAACTTTCCCGCCCGGTGTGCATTCGGCCTGCTAGAGTCATGCCGCCCACAATAACGCACACTCACTATGAATGTATACAAGCAAGCAATGGTGCCACCATTGGTGAAGGATTAGAAAGTCGAAGCGTACCTACCTCAAGGTTCCGTCCGGTTGTTTCACACACACAAGAAGGGCAACCAACAGAATTTGATTGCCATGGTGGACGTTCGTTTGGATGTATCACAACAAGTAGGCTAAGCAGACTTTGACTTTGAATTTGACTTTGACTTTGTCTTTGACTTCGAGTCGGCGTAGCTCAACATCTCTCAGTTGAACAGCTTCGGGTACTCGGCGTGACAGCTCCGGCCCATAGCAGTCTTTGAATCTGACTTCAGCCCAAGAATTTGATTACCGTCTTCCCCCCGAACATAAAGCAACCCCATCTTGACTGCATTGGACCAGAGGTCAATCCGACGCAGCTACATGTGTTTGCGGTGGGTGGGGCCATAGCTAGCTTTCTGGACAGTCTCATGCAATGAACGAGGGAAACCCCATGGACAAAACAAATAAGAATGACGCCACAGAGAGTGACAACAAGAGTAATGACCTTAGCGAGACTGTGAGAGTGCATGGCTGTGACCACTACACGAGGACTAGGGTTCTGTAGATAGTGGACAAACGCTCTCACTGGTTTGAGGTTTGGAGCTGCGGATCTTTGCTTCTGTGAACGACCACAGCGGTTGCATCGTCGCTCAAGGAAGAGGCGAAGGAAATGGGACTAGTCCCAGAAAGAAGCATGCACGTGTTGATGTTTTGAGTCATGGTGTCATTTAATCCCGGTGGTAAGTGGACAAGGCAGCACCAACAAAGCAGTGCACTCGTACAGCAATGACCCAAGCAGGAACGTCACCTACTCACATCACAAGTGGAACTCGTCAAAGTGTGAGCTTAAGCCACCATTGGAGCCAGGAAGTCACTTTCATAGGTGGCCTGTTGTCACCCACCGAACAAACCGACACTGACATCCCAAACAAAGCCATCCCCCGAGGGGCATTCCAAACTGACATGCACTGACTATTTGGCACATCCTTTCACGTGCAAAGACTCAAAGAGCACACCGAAAATACTTCGGAATAAGGAGAAGACAATAACTTATGAATACGTATGAGTGTGTGTGTGTGCGTGTGTGTTGTGTGTTGTGTGTGTGTGTGTGTGTGTGTTGTGTGTGTGCGTGTGTGTGTGTGTGTGTGTGTGTGTGTGTGTGTGTGTGTGTGTGTGTGTGTGTGTGTGCCACTGTTTCTTTCTCCCTTTCCAAGTAGTAATTGATTTGTTCAGTGCAGAAACGCGGACCAGTGTGCAGAATGAACGTAACCTAGTCACATCAGCACATTCATGCATGCATCTAGCCGCAAAATTCGGCGCAAATGCTGCCAGATTTAGATGACAAATTCCAAGTACATGGCCTCAAGTGTCCATCCCGCTTTATTGACGGGATGTCCATCCACCTCTCTCTCTCTCTCTCTCTCTCTCTCTCTCTTCCCCCCCGAGCGTAGAGGGACCGAAACAAATTTAGTACTCCCTCCTCCCAATCAATATGAGTACCATCAATGGATAAGAGCCCCTCTTCCTAAAAAACGATAACACCGAAGGAAAACCACCCCTTCTCGTGACACAGAGAGTGAGTCGCTGCCCGCGAAACCTCGCCTGTTCTCCTAGACGTTTGCCTTCCACAAACACCTCCCACCAATAAAAAAAAACAAACAGAAAACCGGGAAAAAAAATTTGTGCCTATAAGCACAGATGCTGAAAAAAGAGAGAGAGAGCACAGATTCTGAAAATAAGGAAAGAAAGAGAGAGAG